TTTTTTTTTTTTTTTTTTTTTTTTTTTGCTAATATCATGTCAAAGGCTATTCTATTCTCCTAAGCCATTTGGCTGGTGGGTCCTAACTGTCAGCTCTTCCTCTGATAGCATCCATAGCATCCTTAGTATAATTCACAAAGCGTTGTTGATGGTAATAAATATAATTTATCTAGTCTACATTTTTATTAATGGTTACCCACCAGAACAATGTAGATTCAAACCCTGCAGCTATTTGATTTCATGCTTTAAATTTATCTGGCACTCCTCGTGGGACTCCAGTGGTATCTATATAAACTTGTGGATCAAAGGACTCGTAAGGAGTGTCTCTTGCTTTACGGTGTTTTGTTTTTACCTTCTCAGACTCATGAAATGCCAGGGTGAAAGGGATAGCCAATTGGATTAGAGCACAAGTACTGCTCCAATTATCTGGCAGAGTGTCCAGTAAAGGTCCTCCACAGTACCACCATACATCCACTCGGGGGATGGTTGAGGGTGGACTGATGGGTAAGGTCTTGGAAGGGCTTGAGTTCTTTGCATCCTTTTATGCTTCCGAGGAATGTCAAATTCTCCCCGTGCCGTAAAAGACATGAAGTAAACTTGGCATTTAGAGGTGGAAGCTGGATTGCCTTCAGGGGCTGACCTGCAGGGTGTCGAACTTCAGTAAACAGCAGAGAGAGAACTCAGCATGAGCTAGGCTGTGGGATTCTGAAAAGAGCTACCATACAGTCCAGACCTGGTCGACAAAGGGACTATCCAAGTGGAAAGGGGACAATCTGGGCCTCTGGTCTGCCGGGCGCCCAAGTGTATCAGTTGCTCTTATTCGAGGTGCGGACGGAATATTTAATCCATTCCAGCCAGGCATTTGCATTGTTTCAATGGCTGAGGTCTGCCTTAGATCTTCTACTTTTACAATAGACACCTTAGTTATATCATCAGATGCAGGAACAACCAGTGTCCCGCCTAAGACTGAAACTACTGAAATGGGAGAAGAAGGGGAAACAATGTGTATCTCAAAAATGCCTAAGGGATCCTTTCCATTTACATAAATCCTTATACTATAGAAGCAACTAAGGGCAGGCCTAGAGTCAGTTAAGGTGGAAGTGGTGATAGAGAGGACAGGGTTGCATAGATAAGACTGACAGTTGGAAGGGGCAGTTCCTTTAGTGAAATAGAGGAGGGGTTTAAATCAGCGAAACCTCACCTGTGGAAGTCTAACCTTGGTCCTGAGTGGTCTAAAAAACATAGACTCTGTCTAAAAAAAAAAAAAACAACAAAAAAAGAACATAGTATAGTCTTAACTGCTACAGGGTTGCCAGGTTGTAGGAACAGAAAATTGGCCTCTTGGTTGCAAGTGATCACAGGATAGGAACCAGGAGTAGCTGTATCAATTAGAAGGCCAGGGCATAAATACTTATTTGAAAAGGTTAGCTATTGTTGATCGTTTACACCTCCACAAGGTATGACAGAACAAGCATCAAAGGCAATGGTCTGAGGTGAGTCAGACTTAGTTACATTAATAACAAAGGCGCTAGTAACAAAATAAGAAAAGGAAAAGAAGCAATATAAAAGGTATATGAAAATTAAACTTTCTTTAATTTCAACTGGGTAGGGCTTGACCTCAGAATGATAGCCCATGATTCTGTGATGATGATGCTTTCTTGACTCCAGTATGATGGGTCCACCCCTTCTCCGCTCTACGAACAGCAGTCTTGGTTGTTAGGAACACGAGGTAGGGTCCTTCCTAGCCTGAGCTTCTTTCTTTTCTATCCTTTGATGAAAACGTGAACCCCAGGCTGATGCTGTTGCACTGGAAACTAAGGTGGCACCTGTGCTAAAAGACCTTTAGTTGTAAGAGAAGAGAAGGTGGAAGAGAGACCAAATATATAGTTTCTAAAAAATTAATCTTTGGTTTCAAACATGGGAATGTCAGCTGAGGAATGTAGGTAAGGTAATCCATATAACATTTCATATGGGGATAGACCAGTATCCTTCTGGGGAGCAGTCCTAATCTTCAATAACACGATGGGAAGACATTTGGTCCATGGTAACTGTGTTTCTAAAATTAATTTAGTTTTCTGAACATGGTGTAACTATACAAAAGAAAAAAATTAGCTTTTTTGGTTTTTGTTTGGGTTTTTTTAAGAGTTTGGTTCATTCTTTCTACTCTTCTAGAAGAGGAGGGGGTGCTAGGGAATATGAAAATCCTATTTTGTGTCTAACACTTGGGCCAGCTTCTTAATAATATATGCAGTGAAATGAGTCCTGTTATCTGAATCAATATTTTCTATTAGTCTAAATCTAGGTATAATATGTTCAACTAATGCCTTTACTACATTACTGGCAGTTGCCTTTGAGAAAGGAATAGCTTCTACCTAGTGTGTGAAATGACCTACTATTACTAATAAATACTTTAGACAGTCAACTGAGGGCATGTCAGTGTAATCTACTTGAACACTTTGGCCTCTAACCTAGGGCCTCTTTGTCTCTTTGTTCCTTCTGCTACATATTCTTTCTGGGCTTTACCTAAAAGTGCTTCTATTGACTGGCTTTTCTAATCGTCTAGTTTTTGTAACTTCTTTGCAATATCTGGCCAGCTATTTGTAACAAATGCAGCTTTAACATCCTTTGTCCTAGAGGGCTTTGCATATCAAAAGCTTTAGAGAGATTTTGGGGTCAAGGAGCTGACTCTTGAATTCCTTTAACAATAATTTCTTTCAATTCTCTCCTGTTATTTTGATGGGCTGTAAGATTATTGTCCCACTGTGGGTCTTGAGCTAGAAACTTTGTATCTGCTGCTGTGACATCTTGGCCTGGAGGATGATCATGCTCCCAGGCCGCCATAGCAGCCCTACAGATCACGTCCGTTCCTCCCTTGAAAAAAAGAATACTTAAAGTGGACATTAACATTGTCCAAGTATATAACTGGGGCCTTAAGAACTGATTCTGTTTTGCCACTCTATCAGGGTCATCTAGTAATGGCTTAAGTTCTCTTTTCAGACTTAGGACCTCATAAGCAGTCAAAGGAGCATTCAGGAAGCCAATCATGCCCCCTCCTTGAGGCGCTTCCTTTAGCGGAAAAACCTTTGAAGCTGAAGCTAATTATTTAGAGGAGGGAAAAGGAAATTTTGGGATAGCTCTTTTACATTGTTGCATCTCCCGTTGAGGTGGTGCAGCAGTGGGCTGAAACAGGAGGCGTGGGAGGAAGAAGGGTGGGTGCGGGGGCCGAAGCTGGGGGAGCTGGGAGTGGCGAATCTGTGGGCAGCCGTGGAAACAGGGAAGGTCTAGGGGGTCCCACTTATTTGAGGGTTGCTCATGGATAAAAACTTTACCCTTGTCAGACAGGCCTCTCCTAACTTTGTTCTACTCCCTGGTTGTTTCCTTCCCTCCCTAACAGGTAAAGGAGGAAGGCTGTGCCGTCAACAGAGAGCATAAGCTATCTCCTAAGACCAAGCTCTTATTATGGACATAGACTATCAGATGTTGACAGACCTAATACATCCGACCTAAATTTTGGCTGGACAACTGCAGCCTTGAGGATTGGTTCTTTGGTCTAAATAAAACAGCAATATTTTATCATTTGTTGTTTTTATTTTTATTTTTATTTATTTATTTTTTTTTGAGACAGAGTTTCGCTCTTGTTACCCAGGCTGGAGTGCAATGGTGCGATCTCGGCTCACTGAAACCTCCGCCTCCTGGGTTCAAGCAATTCTCCTGCCTCAGCCTCCCGAGTAGCTGGGACTACAGGCGTGAGCCACCATGCCCAGCTAATTTTTGTATTTTTAGTAGAGACGGGGTTTCACCATGTTGACCAGGATGGTCTCGATCTCTTGACCTCATGATCCACCCGCCTCGGCCTCCCAAAGTGCTGGGATTACAAGCTTGAGCCACCATGCCCGGCCCATTTGTTGTTTTTCTTATGCTTAGTCCTTTCATTATCTTTCGAATATGTTAGCATAAGCCCTAAAGAATATGTTAGCATAAGCCCACCGGAGTCAGCTTTACTTCCTGTCTTTGTTTTACTAGAAGCATTACCCATATCATATACTGGTTGGGTTTAATCTCCTGAAACCAGCGAAAGGTCCAACCCCTCAAGCTAGGGATGTCTTCTTGCCTTTCCAGCCCTGGGAAGTTGACCTGTTCCCTCCCTTTTCCCTTCCTTGGCACATTTGTGGATACATACATTCAATCCTCCAGAAGTTGACCACTGAAGAAGTACTCTGTCACCCTCTTGTGACGTTTCCAAGGTAGAGCATGCCTTGTGTATGAGGTTGCCTGGCCGCTGGTACTGCAAGTCTCTCTTTCCCCCGCATTGCTGAGAATCCGGATTTATTGCTTGCACTGGGTGGATCCCGGCTCTCTACCCTTAGGGCTGCTGCAACAAGGCAGCGGGGGCATGCCTCCCCATGAGAGAGGGCTAGAGACCACCCCAGAGGGAAATGCCTCCCCGTATGGGCCACCAAATTGTTGGGAATAGTGCTTATCTTCTGATGTTGCAACATTCAGACAAAAGGTTTCTCGGCAAGGCTTTCTTTTACTTTCTGCAGAAAGGGCACTGCTTGCCAGCAGTCATTTTTTAATTTTTTTTTTGAGGCTGAGTCTTGCTCTATTGCCCAGGCTGGAGTGCAGTGACATGATCTCGGCTCACTACAACCTTTGCCTCCTGGGTTCAAGGGATTCTCCTGCCTCAGCCTCCGGAGTATCTGGGACTACAGGCGCCCACCACCATGCCCAGCTAACCTTTGTATTTTTAGTAGAGACACGGTTTTACCATGTTGGTCAGGCTGGTCTCAAACTCCTGAGCTTGTGATCTGCCTGCCTTGGCCTCCCAAAGTGCTGGGATTACAGGTGTGAGCCATCACGCCTGGCCTCACCAGCAGTCTTACCAAGAAAGTGTACTGAACAAAGGAGACAGGATTATTTACAACCTGATGTGTCCACCCTATGCTATGTCTGGTCTCCATTGCCTGTAGCAGGACCTCACATTCTATACTTTACCCAATTGGCTAAAGACTTAAAACTTTCCTAAATAGGCGAAGGGAGAGAGAACAAAGAAAAGAGGAAGTTGCTCACGAGATGGTCAAGGAAGTGGCTCCAAATAAGGAATGAAATGAACTATGGGCTGGGACTTGCCCAGGCCTGTCTGGGCATGCCTGAATAAGTCAAGTCAGGCCAGGTGCGGTGGCTCACGCCTGTATTCCCAGCACCTTGGGAAGTGGGAGACCAAGGTGGGCGGATCATGAGGTCAAGAGATTGAGACCATGGTGAAACCCCGTGTCTACTAAAAAAATACAAAAACTAGCTGGGTGTGGTGGCGCTCACCTGTAGCCCCAGCTACTTGGGAGTCTGAGGCAGGAGAATTGCTTGAACCTGGGAGCAAAGGTTGCAGTGAGCTGAGATCGTGCCACTGCACTCTAGCTTGGTGACACAGCAAGACTCTGTCTCAAAAAAAAAATAAATAAATAAAAAATGGTAAGTCAAAGCAGCTAGCTGGGCTAGAATATAGGTGCTAAAAATGGATAGGGATTTTAGAGTAAGAATTTGTTATTCTTTAAGCCCTAAGATGAAAACTTGGAAGACAAATTTCTCTATTTTTACACTCCACCTCCCAGATTTAAGTGATTCTCCTGCCTCAGCCTCCCCAGTAGCTGGGATTACTGGCTCTTGCCACCATGCTCAGCTAACTTTTGTATATTTTTAGTACAGATAGGGTTTCCCCATGTTGGCCAGGCTGGTCTCAAACTCCTGACCTCAAGTGATCTGCCCACCTCGGCCTCCCAAAGTGCTGGAATTACAGGTGCTAGCCACCATGCCCAACCCTCACCCTGCTTCTTAAACCATTGAATTATAGGCATGAGCCACTGCACCTGGCTTCAGTTAAGCTTCTTGATGTATCTATTTCTTCAGTTACCAGTTCACTCCACAACTCATTCAAACAGAAAGTATGGTGCTCATTACTGAGTACTGACTCCTGAGGACCCTTTTCTTGGCTTCTAGGTACTCTCTTCCTCTTAAATGTTGATGTTCCCCTAGCTCCTGACTTCAGCACCATGTTCTTCTCTTTCCTCATCTGTTTTGGGATGATCTCTTTATTTTCCTGGTTTAAACGTAATCATTTTACTGAATGAACTGGACTCCATGTGGTGCTGTTGGCTATTGTCCTTTCAAATTTGCTTGATGGGCTTTCTCTGTCCTGGATGAAATCTCAGAAAGTTGCCAGAACTGCTCTAGTCCTTCTGTCACAAGAACAGCCTCTTATCAGATATTAAGTTGTTCAAGCCATCTAATGTTATCACAATCAAAAACTTCCACTTAAATGAGAGTTTCAGCAAGGTGCGGTGGCTCATGCCTATAATCTCAGCACTTTGGGAGGCTGAGGCGGGTGGATCATCCTGGCTAAAACAGTGAAATCCTGTCTCTACAAAAAAAAAAAAAAAAAAAAAAATAGCCACTGTGGTGGCACACGCCTGTAGTACCTCCCAACTACTTGGGAGGCTGAGGCAGGAGAATGGCTTGAACCCGAGAAGTGGAGGTTGCAGTGAGCTGAGATCACACCATTGCACTCCAGCCTGGATGACAGAGGGAGACTTTGTCTCAAAAATAAATAAATAAGGGTTTCTCTGCACCTTCTCTCAGCTTAAGGTGCGGAAACCTGTGATGTAGAATTGTCTGCTGAATATTTTCCTTGTAGTAGTGGACATCTGTAGCTTTTTATCTCTCTGGCATCTCATCTTCTCCCATTTTAGTTTAACAAGCTTCTTCCTCATGGGATGTCTCATTACACGTGGGTGGGGCTGACACCCTTCTATCCCTGACAACGTTGTTTTCTTTTTTTTTTTGAGACAGAGTCTCGCTCTATCGCCAGGCTGGAGTGCAATGGCACGATCCCGCCTCACTGCAACTTCCGTTTTCCGGTTTCAAGCAATTCTCCTGCCTCAGCCTCCCGAGTAGCTGGGACAACAGGCACACACTACCAGGCCCGGCTAATATTTTGTACTTTTAGTAGAGACGGGGTTTCACCATGTTGGTCAGGATGGTCTCTATCTCTTGACCTCGTGATCCACCCACCTCGGCCTCCTAAAGTGTTGGGATTACAGGCGTGAGCCCCCGCGCCCGGCCTTACCCCTGACAACGTTGTAAGAGTCAGCCAACCTAATCAATCAGAGTAACTAACTCACTTCCTTCATCACTACGATTGGTTGAGAGATGGAGTTTATTAACGCCAATCAGATCTTTGCAGAACTATCCCTGGGGTTGCTGAGCTGGTAGGATGGATATGAGCCTGGAGACTGGGTTACTTTCTTCACCACAGAGATAGACAGAAAAAGTGGCCCTCCACTTCAGCTAAGTTTCTGCTCCCAAGATTTCTTAAGAAATTTATTCTCCCCTCCCCACTTGAATTCATTTGAGATAGATTTTACAACTTACACTTGAAAAAGACCTGACTGAAATAGATGGCCTACAGAAAACTTGAAAACCTCAAACCTGTCCAAAAGGGAATTCTTTTTTCTTCGTCTTCTACTTTCATTGCCGCCATCTCTACTAACTTCTCTTTCAAGCCAGAAATCTAACACTCAACTCTTTGCTCCTCCTCATCCCCTGCAAACGACAGATCTCTCAGTTCTGTCTGCTCTCCTTCCCATCACTAGAGCCCCTCCCTTTCTTTCCATACATGTCCTAGTCCATCCCCACTTTCTCACTCCCTGGCAATAGCTTCCTTTCTTCATTTTTCTTTTCTGACTTTACCTGATCAAATCTGTTCAGCCACGAGAACAATCATTCTAAAGCACAAGTCTGGTTTACCATTTTTGTTGTTGTTTGTTTGTTGAGATGGAGTCTCCGCTCTGATGCCCAGGCTGGAGTGCAGTGGCACAATCTTGGCTCACTGCAACCTCTGCCTCCCGGGTTCAAGAGATTCTCCTGCCTCAGCCTCCCAAGTAGCTGGGATTACAGGCATGCATCACCATGCCCAGCTAATTTTTGTATTTTTAGTAGAGACGGGGTTTCACCATGTTTGCCAAGCTGGTCTCAAACTTCTGACCTCAGGTGATCCACTCACCTCGGCCTCCCAAAGTGCTGGGATTACAGGCGTCAACCATTGCACCCAGCCTGGTTTACCACTTTCTATTTGGAAATACCTCAGATGTATCAAATGGTCTCTAAGATCAAGTCCAGCCCCCTCATTTGGCAACAGAACCTTCCATGAGGGGCGCCTGTTCTGAGAATCACCTCAAGGCTGGGTCATGCGCTAAATAAATAAATAAATCCTTCCATGACGTGGTCTTTTTTTTTTTTTATTGTATTTTAGGTTCTGGGGTACATGTGCAGATTATGCAGGATCGTTGCATAGGTACATACATGGCAATGTGGTTTGCTGCCTCCATCCCCCCCTTGTCACCTATATCTGTCATTTCTCTCCATGTTGTCCCTCCCCAACTTACCCATCTCCTGCTGTCCCTGCCCTACCCTCCCCAACAGACCCCAGTGTGTGATGCTCCCCTCCCTGTGTCTATGTGTTCTCATTGTCCAACATCCACCTGTGAGTGAGAACATGCGGTGTTTGATTTTCTCTTCTAGTGCATGACGTGGTCTTACTTGCCTCTTTGGTCTCGTCTTCACCCTGTCTTTACAATTTCTGTTAGACAACATCAATCTGTTTGTCATCCCTTGTAAACGCCAATCACCTACTTATGCTTCCTCTCCCAATTCCTTTCCTCTACCCCTTTGCACCTTTGCTCAGATGTCGGCTCTTCCAGACGGATGTCCTTAGCTCCCAAGTGGGGTCAAATGCTCCTACCATTTGCTTCCATTGTAGCTAGTAAGTAACTTTTTCCATATTCCGTTAAATCCTTTCTTAGATCCGTCTTCCTGAGCATAAGCAATGTGAGGTTAGGGACTGTATCTTATTCATCTCTGTTTCTGTAGTGTCTGGCATTCAATACAGGCTTGTTGGACAAAATTGTCACATTTTAAAAATTTTTTAAAAATTTTGTTGAACTGAAAATTCACCAGTTAGATATATTTGGGGGCATAGATATTCTTGGTGAAATGTAAAATCCACCTTACCTGAAGTGTAAGTTTCATAGTTCAAAATGAATAAACTTGATCAGTACTATTTTTTTTCTAAAATCCTACTGATATGGGTCATTAAAAGGAAGGGTTCTGGAAGATAGTATGTGTACTGGTTGGAGAATTCAATTTTTAGAGTTCTAGAGTTAGAATTCGCAAGGCAGATCCTTTGTGTTGACATCATTACAAACAAAAAGCAACATAAAAAAAAAAAAAATAGAACTCCAAAGGTAGAATTTGAAGTTTTCTATTCATAAACTGGGTGACAATGGCAAATTATTTAGCCTCTCTAAGCCTGTTTCCTTATTTGTAAGAAGAAAATCATTTTATGTACCTCATAGTGCTGTTTTAAACTTAAAACAGGCTAGGAGCAGTGGCTCACGTTTGTAATCCCAGCACTTTGGGACGCTTAGGTGGGTGGATCATGAGGTCAGGAGTTCAAGACCAGCCTGGCCAACATAGTGAAACCCCATCTCTACTAAAAATACAAAAATTAGCTGGCTGTGGTGGCAGCCGCCTATAATCCCAGCTACTTGGGAGGCTGAGGCAGAAGAATTGCTTGAACCCAGGAGATGGAGGTTTCAGTGAGCCGAGATCATGCCACTGCACTACAGCCTGGGCGACAGAGCCAGATTCCATCTCAAAAAAAAAACAACCCAAAAAAAACCCAAACATTATTATAATCATCTGGAATGGTGGCTCAGGCCTGTAATCCCAGCACTTTGGGAGGCCTAGGTGGGTGTATTGCTTGAGCTCAGGAAGTTCGAGACCAGCCTGGGCAACATGGAGAAACCCTGTCTCTACCAAAACTACAAAAACTTAGCTGAGTGTGGTAGTGTACCCTGTAGTCCCACCTACTCAGGAGGTTGAGGCAGGAGAATTGCTTGAACCCAGGAGGAGAGGTGGAGGTTGCAGTGAGCAGAGGTCACACCACTGTACTCCAGCCTGGGTGACAGGGTGAGACTCCATCTCAAAATAAATAAATAAATAAATAAAATAAAGATAAAATAATTCAACTGATAGGGTTCAGGACCTGCCACTCTGAAATATGACTGTAGGAGGCCAGAATATGCCACCCTAAAAGAGACTGTGGTTTTTTTTTTGTTGTTTTTGTTTTTAGCATATTGATTATTTTGGAGAACTGCAGATACAGAAGCTCTGAAAGGTTACCATTTGGTAAAGGAAATATACATTTATAAAGTAAATTTTCATTTATAAAGGCATCTGTACTAGGAAGAGAGTTACTCATCATCAAACAACTTTGATCACATGAGAGACTTTCATCACGTTTCCTCCCCTCACCCTCCCATAATTTGTCTCCACTCTCCCCACCACCCGTCAGAAACCCCAAACCCTTTCTGTAGCTTAGCATTATAATCAATCATCTGGCCACTTCTTTAAGTCTCATTTATGTGGGACTCCTGTGAGCAGGTGTGTCACTAAAATGGCCACTGGCCAGGCGCGGTGGCTCATGCCTGTACTCCCAGCACTTTGGGAGGTCGAGGTGAGCAGATCACCTGAGGTCAGGAGTTCAAGACCAGCCTGGTGAACATAGTGAACCCCCCGTCTCTACTAAAAATACAAAAATTAGGTGAATGTGGTGTCTTTAATCCCAGTTACTCAGGAGGCTGAGGCAGGAGAATCTCTTGAACCTGGGAGGTGGAGGATGCAGTGAACCCAGATTGCGCCATTGCACTCCAGCCTGGGTGACAAGAGTGAAACTCCCTCTTGATAAATGAATAAATAGTAAAATGGTTTTCTTTCTGTTAATTTCCCTTATGTCAATTTAATTTGTAGACCAGCCAAAGAATCTGAATCTAGGAGGATACAGGGAAGCACTTTTTTTTTTTTTTTTTTTGCCCCTACACAAGAAACACAAAGTGCCTCTCACAGTGCTTATGTGGCATATATAAATATTCAATCCAAATTTGCTTTTATCATTTTCATTAATAAAGGTGGGTCTTGGAAAGATGCCATATGTAGGGAAGGTAGAACAATCATGAGGACACCTTTTTACACTGGTGGGTGAGGAGAGGTGACATCCCAACCTTAAAATTTTTTGTTTTATTGTATTCTTTATTTATTTTTGAGACAGGGTCTCTCTCTGTCACCCAGGCTGGAGTAGGGTGGCACAATCTTGGCTCACTGCAACCTCTGCCTCCTGGGCTGAAGCAGTCCTCCCACCTCAGCCTTTTTGGTAGCTGGGACTACAGGTGCATGCCACCACACACAGCTGATTTTCATATTTTTAGTAGAGACAAGGTTTTGCCATGTTGCCTAGGCTGGTCTCAAAGTCCGGAGCTCAAATGATCCTCCCATTTTG